GTTAATTAGTTTTCCAGAGAATGACAAACTGCCCCTTCCTTTTCTCTGTTAGAGTTTTTGTTTGTTTTAGGCTCTTTTTTTTTTTTTTTTTTTTTTTTTTAATTCAACTTTCTAATGTTTCAGGTAGTTCAGGGTCGTAAGGTTGGTGGGGAAAATTTGAAATCATTTGTGTGTTTTCTAGTAATCTGTTTGCACATGGCTCAGAACTTCCTGTTGCTTTTCTTTCATATCATGCCAGTGGCTGGAAGGCATGCATGTGGACTGATGGCTAGCGGAGTTGCTTCCGAGTTCTCCTGGGAGATTGTTCTCAGCTTAGCTTCCCAGGGATAACAGTTGTTCTTTGTGCTTCCTATACTCCCAGACACGGAGAGTGAAAGGTGTACTAGGCATGCAATTGATGTTTTCATAGGCACAGAGAGGGTGTAAAACCCCATGAACCAGAAGTTATGGAAAAAGGATAAATGAGAGAGAGGGAGATAGAGATAGAGAGAGAGTTAATTGTGGTGTTATGATGATGGCCATTAGTCAGGGGAGCTTGCTGCTTCTAATTGGTCCCTTGGTTATGTTTCTAAACTTTCCCAAAAGTCACTTTCCTTATCTATGAAGCAGCTGATAGCCACACCTGCCCCCTGAAGTTTATAGGGCATAAGTCACTGAGAGAGCTCAGGCTAGTGCTGAGCACACTTTGAGAAGACTACAGAAGGTCATTGTTGCTTAGGTCATTGCCATCATTACTTATTGAGAACCAGAGTGCTACAGAGAGCACATGCTAGGTATGGCCCCTCGGAGAAGACAGTTCCCCGGAAGGCATGACTTTCCCCAGCATTCTACAGCCCTGTCTTTTTTTTTTCCCCCTAGTTCCAAATGCTCAGGGGTCATGCCTTCCTATTCCTCACATCCTTCTGATGCTACATGAGGCCGTGCACAGACCCTCTTCTGGGTTTCCAGACTTTGCAGGTGGCTTCTCCAGACTGCTGCATTCACAACTGCAGCTGCCCCATCTGCCCCTTGTCCTCTCTGCTCTTTCCAGAACTTTTGTCATGAGGAGCCCTATTTAGCCACCTCCGCATCTGGGTCTGTCTCTTTCACAGAGGTCTCACCCATGGCACATACTGAGACTGTGTGCCTTGGCTCTGCTCCATGGGGGCTCTCCTGGTCCTGTTTGCTACCTGACTCAGGAAAAGACAAACACTCATGTAGGCAGCCTGAGAGGACCACATTCTTGCTTACTGGTGGCCTGGTAGCCTCTCCAGGCCATGAAGACACCACAAGAGTTCTGTCTTGACACAGTACCAAATGTTTTCCCATGAGTGTAATATTCTTGCATTTTTACTGTTGAAGAGCTGGAGAAATCAGAGTCAGAGGAAACTAAATCTACCTACAACTTTACCAGAGGCCATTTCTGGCAACATGTCACTGCCTCCCTTTTGAGGTTTCCTCTGGGCAATTACATATCTAATTCCTGTGTAATCACATGGTGTTCATGGTACTCCCAACTGGCAGTGTTCTACTTTTTATTTTTGATAATATTTTCCCATAGTAATTTATTTACAGTATTATTTCCCATGTAAGAATAACGGGTGGGTACACATATATACAAGAAGAGAAATCACATCTAAAGTTTTCAGCTAGGAATAAAACACTCAGTATAGATCTTTTACTATTACTGTCTTAACTTATTTTCATTTTAGATTTATTTATCTTTTGACTGAGTGTGTGTGCACATGTGTGTGTGTGCATATGCATGTGTGCAAAACCCCAAAAGATTTGAAGAGGGTATCAGATCCTCTGGAGCTGGATTGATTTAAGGCAGTTGTAAGCTACCTAGGGTCTTGGTTCTCTAGAAGGGCAGCAAGAAGTTTAACCTCTGAGCCATCCTTCCAGCTCTTCAATACCTTAAAATTTTTTCTTCATCATTTCTTATTGGAGCCACAGACTTTGAGAAGTGCTCCTCTTTCTTAACATGCTGAAACAATATGGGCAGCAATCCATGCTCATGTTGGGATATGAGTACAGAACTAGCTGGGACATCATTTTGAAGTAACTTAATTGGGGAAGTGTTAACTATTCCTGGGTTAAGAAGAATAGATGGTATATGGATTATATATACCTATTGGAATCAAACACCTAATGGAATTATGAGAACATTTACACAAGAATTTATTCCAGGAATACTTAGAAAATCACATATGAAGGCATTTATTTTGTAACATTTTAAAATTGTTTATTTTTTTATTTTCTGTGTATGAATGTTTTGCATATATATATATATGCATATATATATATATATATATATATATATATATATATATATATATCACATGTGCACCTGGTACCTATTGAATCCCCTGAACTGGGATTGAATGTGGTCATGGGCCACCATGTAGATGTTGGGTGCTGGTGACTGAATCCAGGTCCTCTGCAAGGACACCTAGTATACTCTTAGCCACTGAGCCATCTCTCAGCCCCTCATTAAGTATCTTTTAAGGCTAGACATGAAATCAAGATCTTTTCCTAATCTCAAAAACTGTTTAATGGGAGAAGGGTAAGCAGGGAATTCTCGATGTCAAATAGTAAATAGGTTTTTGAGATATATATCATAAATGCCATGATCATCTGAATTCCTATAAAGAGGCAGGCCACTCTTATTCAAAAATCAGGTAGAACTGACTGCATAGAGAATGTAAGGTCAGAGACTAGCCCAGTACAGTCAGGCAAGGAAGATTTGGACCTAGTTCCTCTCTTGTTCCTTATACAGTATTACATTTGACTTCCTTGTTTCTATGCCTACAGACTATAAGTACACATTAGAAGGTACAGAGGACAAAGGCACACAGAATGCAACAAATAATTTCAACTGCTTAACTGGTTGGAAGCATTTTAGGGCACGAAAACAGCACTTTATACTTCAGCAGTCACGTAGTGTTTTCCCATTACAGCAAGATATAAGACAGGTAATTCCAAACATGATCTTGATTTATCAAGGTTAAGTTACATTACATATGTTGTGCATGTTTTAGACAGCATTCAAAGTATTTTGGAAGGCTTTCAATAGGAATATAATACTTTTTCCTTTCATCATGCATGTATACAATATATTTTGTTCCTATTCACGTACAACACAGACACACAGGCACACACAGAGGCACACAAACAGTGGTGCGCGCGCGCACACACACACACACACACACACACACACACACACACACACACACACACTATACCTAGAGAACCCTCTCACAAATTCACCTTCTTCTCTTTTGTCTTTTTTTTTTTTAAATCTGAGTCTAATTAATGCTGCCTCTGTATACATGGGCAGAGCCATTGATTAGAGCATGATCTACCTACCAGGGGCCACATCTGTAAAGAAAATTGATTTTTCCTCTACTACCAGCCATCAGCTACCAGTAGTTTCTCAACTAGATATCTCAAGTAGATAGTTGATGTGATGTTTCCTGAGGCTCGGAGGGAGGCAGTATCATCCAAATGTTCCATTTATGACTGATCACTCCACAGACATTTATTCTCTTCCCTTTGTCCAGTTGTGAATCTCTGTGTTTGTTCCCTTCACAAAGATGCATTTCTGATGAGGACAGAGAGCTGCACTCACCTATGGATATAGAAATGGGCATCCTTAGAAGGTAGCCTGAGACTCTGTCCACTTAACAAAATAGTAATAGTAGCTTTCTCCTCCAGAGCCCATGAACTTGCTCTCCAGAGTTCTACTTACTGAAATACATCTTTGTGAATCTCTAGCCAATAGCTCAGACTTCCTGTGTGTTCTAGAGAAGAGGCTAAAGCATTTCTGATTCCTGATTTCTGATTCCAGTGCCTTGTCTATGTTTCCTGGAACATTTAATGACACTACTAGACTACTTGTGGATTTTGGCACTGACAACTTATTCTTCTGCCCAGCACAAGACCATTTCCCTTGGTGGCAACCAGGGGCTGTTTTGGTTTCTCATCACCTCACCCATGATTCTCAGGCAAAACATCTGAACTCTGTGGTTTTCACATTTAAATAAAATCCCCTTCTATGCTGTTGCCACCCAATAGCATAAACACAAGCTAGCGATGACTCATTACAGGTTGCACATAAAGGATACTCTATTCACTGTGTGCTCAGGCTATGCCACAGCATTGAGGCATTGCTGACCTCACAGAGAGAGAACTTATAGAATGCAGTTCCATCATGGGTCAAACAGTCAAATGCCAGGGCTGGATTTTTTTTAAAGAACCAGATAATACCCATTTTATGACCATTAATAACATTGTCTTTATATAAACTGAGATAAGAGTAATAAAAAATACATTCTGCTCCATAGTATAATTTGATTGCCAATAGATTTCAGAAATGAACTTTCTCATTGTGCATTCGATACTGCCTAGTAGAAGGGTAACCATCCAGCAGCCCTCTTCCCAACCTTCCATTTCTCTTTTATATAGAGAAACTTTAGTTTAGCCAGATCCATAAGCTACTCCAGGGAGGCAGATCCTTTGCTCTCCCCTTTAAAGTGCTTTGATTGTGCCTCTGGTAGTTAATGTGCCAAATGGTCTTCAGGGCGTTTCCTACACGTGTTCTGCTACTAATTAGAGTGCCTGGGCCTACTGTTTTCCTACCTCAGTACTCTCCATGTGTTTAAGAGCTCAGTTCAAACACCAGGCCCGTGGAGAGGCATGGCAAAGCTCTGCTCTGATTTGGGCATCTGTTGCAAGCAGGTTTTCCAAAGGATATCCTGTGGGAGATAAACCATTTCATTAAGCCAGGTTCCCTTTCCAAACCAGGAAACCCAGGGCCCCTGTGAAGGAAAACCCAGATAATGCTGAGAGCACTTGTAAATGTTGTTGTCAGCATCCTTCCTACAGGTTCCATCCTGATTGTGTCCATTGACAGGTTAATGATGTGTTTTAAGGCTCTGTTTATGGAGAGCCGATAGGGCAGCTGGACAGGAGTACTTTACCTATTGCAATGACCATTCCTCCTTCCATGTCTCTTGCAGTTGATAACTCCCCATGCCATCCGTGTGCAGACACCTCCTCGGCATATCCCTGGTGTTGTGGAAGTCACATTGTCCTACAAGTCCAAGCAATTCTGCAAAGGGACTCCAGGCAGATTCATCTATACAGGTAAGCATGGCTACAGATAGTCATCAAAGAGCTGGCTTGACCTCATGAGGTGTTTGTTTTATTTGATCATGTATGTATAAGTATGTTTTTTTTAAAACTTGTTTCTGTTAAGATATATTTTTCTCCATTTCAACAGATATAAGTCCAAAGATATTGCAATGATTGTTAATACTAAAAGCTTATGTGGGTGTAATGGTTTTGAATGATGAAACAATTGGTTAGCTACTTAGAGGAATAACATGAGAAATAAGAGAAAGCAGGCAGTACTAGACAGGACCAAGGTCTTTCTAACAGCTTGGTAGCTTGTTGGAGTTTGCTCTGTGGAACAAGGTTGAGCTTTAATGAACAGTACTCCTTTCTTCTAGCATGTTGCAACATTTGAATTAAACACATTTGGTAGTTTTCATAGTTTATTCTGGGTTGGTGCTTTCTTCCCCAGTAAGCTGTACCCCTCCCCCTACAACCTTGGCACATGGCCCTGCCTTGTGGTAAGCAGCTAGGGTTACTGGGTGCCTCTGAAATCCCTCCCACCAGACACAGCCAATCAGGCAGGATCCGGACTGACAGGATGTGGAAATATATGTAATAGGCAAAGAAAACACGGGGGACCTTTTACCGTTCAGAATCTGTTATGGAAGGGATTCTAGGGAGACCATGAGACTCTTTGTTTCTTACATGCGAAAAGTCAAGGCCTAGACCGTTGTCAAGGACCACACATGGTGTGGTAAATTTGCTTCGCATCACCTGACTAGCTCCATCCATGATCTAGTCACAACTTTTTTTTATCCATTTATTAGACCTACCCATGTAGATGGGAAGTTGTTTTCACACAAAGGGGTCTGGAGCACAGAACTGGCTATTAGTACATCCTAATTAAATCATGTAATTCAACGAGCAAATTTCTTTTTTGCTGTGATATTCTACCTCAAAGTGTCTTCCCCTATAATTTTATACTGTGAACCAAACCAACCTTGCTTCATAGTCACTCAGTCTCTATCACACAATGACAAAAACCAACCACACAAACAAGCCAGTTAATATATCTTGACCCTTAGAAATGCCTCCCAGCCCTTTAAACAAAATACAGGGTTGGTGCCTGCCTGTCGATTAGTTTTAGTTAATTGAAAATTATAGGATTGACCCAAGAGGAAAATTTTGTTTGCACTCCAATCACTTTTACAAATTAAGGAAAATTACCACAATTTTGTTTAGCTCAGGTTTCACACTGAGTTCACGAAATTAAGCTCAGCCATCCCAACCAAGTCAGCACTTTGTTAGTGAGCGCTTTAAAAAAAAGTCTATCTGGAGTTTTGCGGTGTATACAAACGAAGCATAGAGAAAGCTATGATGCTTTATAGAAGTGGGCCAAGTGTTTTTAATCAGGCTCATTGGTTCAGCCTAACTTTTGAAGAACAATCAAAATAGCAGATTAGCTGTTTCTTTTAAATTTAGGATTTCTTGCCATTCATTTTTCCCATGAGAACTTCTACATAACACTGTAATTTTTCTTTTTACTTTTTCATTCATTCTTCCTTCTTTCCTTTTCCTTTTTTCTTTTCTTTCTTTCTTTCTTTCTTTCTTCTTCTTTTTTTTTTTTTAACAAGCCTCATTATGGGCTTGCAGGGAAAAAAAGACCAATTGAAATTTCTGATACTGTAACATTCCCTACCATCCTTCCAAGGGATGGGAGTTTTACAGTGTGCCTTGCTGGACTTGCTGTTCTGGAACATATTACAAAACCACAGAGGCCAAATGTTTTCTCTGAGGAGTTTGGACTCTGTTTTTGGCTGAAAATATTTAGGCCTTGCTGTTTGCTTATTACTCTGCTATTAAGAACGAGAGAGAGAGAGAGAGAGAGAGAGAGAGAGAGAGAGAGAGAGAGAATGCTTGTGGGGTGGGAGGCACCAGAAGCAGTCAGCCATGGTTTCCGCTTTGGTGACAATGTCCTTGCTCATTAATGATTCCATTTTGTGGTCAGGTCTCATTTAGAAGGAATTATTTTTAATCATTGTTCAACAAAATATACCCTAGAGCAACCTGATCATAATTTAAAAAACAAATCACTACCATTACATTACTTAAATTCTCAAACAAAACAAAACACTCCTCACACCCCAAAACAAAACAAATAAAAATTCCTAGCGGCTGACTAACACACCATTATTTAAGATTTTTTTTTAAAAACCATTTAAAAATTACTATCAATTTAAGAAATCACATATTGGCAAATCTGTATTGCACTGGAATTAAGATCAAAGATACAAACAGAAGATCTGCAAGCCGAGGGAAGTAATTAGGGAGAAAAGCGTGCTGATGTGGTCATGTGTGGGAATTTAAAGAAGAGACAGATGCCTTCATGCCTTCAACTGTGGGCAAGTCATGAGAAGATGCCATTTGACATGTATTCTAGGAGGGAATCTAACCTCTTGTGTCAGAAAAAATAAAAATAGGAAGAAATCAGGATAAGATTCTTTGGCTATTAATAGTTATAGTGACATCACGTGGCTTTCACAGGGGAACTTCTGAGCCTCGTGATCACTGGCATGTGGCTTGTCCTTGTGGAGGGTCCTTAGTCATGGCTTGGCTCTCAGCTCCTGGGGTTTACTCTGTTTACCTCTTTGTCTGTCACTGCTTACCAGTGAAGGTATAGAGAAGGGGTCTCAGCGCCAGTCTGTTCTTTGTATCCAGACAACTGTTCAGGTCACTGTGTGTGTGTGTGTGTGTGTGTGTGTGTGTGTGTGTGTGTGTGTGTGTGTGTGTGTGTGTGTTAGCCCCTCGGCTGCACACTCCCAGAAATTCACTTCACACTTCATTGTCTTTAACATCCACACGACTTCAAGATGTGAGGCTTGGCTTTTGGAGTTGGTAAACTAAACTTGATTCTTAATGGAACGTCCCTGGAATTTTTCCCCTTTAAAAAAAAAAATGGAAATTGTAGAACTGAAAAATAACATCCCAACTAAGGTACTCCCACTGTTTTCAAAGTGCTGAAGAGTTTGAGTTTGGATACAGGAATGTGGAAGGTGATAAAATTCTACTTTAAGCAAAGCCAGAAAATAAAACCAGACAGGAACACCCTGGTCTAGTCAATGCAAATAAAGGCAGCCTTTTGGAGGAAGTGGTCTGACTAAACACAGATTGGCTGAAGGCTGGGCCCCATTTGTAAGGATGCTGGGCACAACCCTCCATCACTGAACCTTAGGCTTGAGCATTCTTGTTCACTTGATATATGATGTTCTTTCATTTGCCTAATCACAGTCATGGAAAAGAATTGAGTCCTGATTAAATAGAACACAGAAGCCCAATAGCACTGGCCCGATCAAACTTTATTGTGTCTCATTTTCTTTCACAATTGTTGGGGGCAAGGCTGACCTTACATGTTGTTTCTAAATGAAAGAAATGAAAACCCCATCTAGTCACAGGACTGTTTTCTGAGTCTCATGATATCTCGTATCTGAGCAGTCAGTCCTGGTAGACCAGATAAAGATCACAGGACCAGGTCTCACTGGCCATGTAGTATCTCCCTAACATTGTCATGATTCACACCCCTTGTTTTCTCACAGCCATTCAGTCTTTAAATGAGCTGTTCCTTTAGGAGCATGACTATCCTTGCTAAGCCTTCAGTGAACTTGGATGCTAATGAAAGTTTCTTCGTAGCTGTTAGCTGTTTCTTCAAAATTCTCAGAGTTGGGTTTTTTAATAACAAGTGGCCACATCTAAAGTAATACAGTGCAGCATAAGGATGGGGTACCTCCATTTAAGGTAATGGATATAGACTGAACTCTCAGCTTTGCCATTTCCTGGAGAGGCTATTCCTGAGACCTCCACATTATGACGGAGCCACAGTCATCTCATGTTTACAAGAAGAGAACGATAACTGCTAGGGTTGCTTTTAGAATCAGAGCCACACATAGCTCCTAGAAGGAGGCCAGATTTAGCACTGGCATTAATAAATTGGGGCCATTATCTTCAGTCATTTATGCTTTTTAAAATTGTTATTTTCTGTATCTGAAGTTTTTGCCTGAATATGTAAGTGTAAGTGTATCATTCATATATATATATATATATACATATATATATATATACACATATATATACACATACATATACATATACATATACATATACATATACATATACATATACATATATATATATATATATATATATCCTGGGACAATGGAGTCTAGGCAAGGGAATTAGGTCTTCTGGAACTGGAGTCCCAGACAGTTGCAAGCTGCCACATGGAGACTGGGACCTGAATCTGGGTCCTCTGTAAGATTCAAAATCTCTGAGCTGCTGAGCCATCACCCATCCATTTTTTGAGTCTATTTTCTGGAGCAGGTATCTCACATCCTGTTTAGCATCATCTTCATCTTTCCATACATCTAAGATATTCCCCGAAGGGATTTCATAACTGAATCATAGGCACAGGTACATTGAAGCAACAGCAAGAAGAAAGGACAATGTATGAGTAATTATGAAACAACAGAGATTTATAAATAATTATTCAATTGTCTGTTGTCACAACAAAATGACCCAGACCGAATGCTTATAAAGGAAATATGATTATTTAATTCACACTTTAGGGGATTGAAAGTCTGAGACCAAATAGTCCCATTTGTTGGGCCTCTGGTAAGGGCCAACTAGCCTACATCATATCAGGGTGGATGGCATTGTGGAGGAGGCATGTGTGAAAGTGATCACGTGATGAGATAGAAATCTGGGGCATTCAGGATTGGATTCTCGATAGTATCCCACTCTCATGAGAACCAGGCAGGATTCTACAAGGAGTACAAGGCAGCACATCCAAAAGCCTATTTAAATTAAACATTTATTTAAGTTATTCAAATTTCTTTGGGCTCTACCACTTAATTCTGCCACATTGGGCACCTCGTATCCAGGACCTGGACTCTTGGGAGCTAAACTCTATGGCTTAAATAATCAATATTTTTTATTAGCAGTCTTGATTTGGAAACTTTCATGATAGTGATTTTTTT